GATATAGAATAGATAGTTTATATATATATATATATATATATATATATATATATATACGAGGTCTGTTCAAAAAGTACCCGGAATTTTCGTTTTTTCAAAATATTTATTTATTCGTCTACATTAATGTGGTCCCCTTCAAAGTAGTCCCCCCCAGATATAATACACTTATGCCAGCGTTTTTTCCAATTTTCGAAGCACCCTTGATATTCACTTTTTGATATGTCCTTGAGCACTCTCAGCGATTTTCTTCAATCGAGGAAAACCGCCGTCCTTTCATGGGTCTCTTCAACTTTGGGAATAGGAAAAAGTCACACGGAGCCATATCTGGTGAATTTTTGCACTTTGCAACACTTTATTTCATTTTTTACGCAAAATTTAATACAAATTCTTTGACTTTTCAATTCTTCCATTGTAAAAATCGCCGAGCTCAGAAAAACACGTCGAACCTTAGCGACTACCACAGGCAAAGTAAACAGTGAATATAGCTGAAAATTTCATCATACTTTAGGGGCATGTATACCAACACAATAAAAAAAAATTTTGACAATCAGACACTCCAGACCCGCGAAATTTAATTATTAGTAATTCCGGGTACTTTTTGAACACACCTCGTATATATATATATATATATATATATATATATATATATATTATTTTAAAACAGATTGATTTTTTTTTTAAAACCTTGAAAATATTTGATTTTTGAGAATTTTGATAAATCGATCGATAATTTAACTCATCTAGTTTTATCGGTGGTAACCTTTCCGTCGTCAATATCTAAAGAATTGTTTTGGAAATGTTTGTGGAGCGGATAAATTTATGCTTTTCGATAGGCTCAGAAAAAAACATCAAAATTCAATGAAAGACGTTCACAAAAAAAAAATCGATAATTGATCAGTTATCGAGCTATATGAAAAATGATTGAACTACTTAAATGACTGTTATGGAATGGAAATTTGTAGTAGGACAGTGGGTAAGTTATAGTAGGGTAAGTTATAGTAGTCGCAAAAAAAAACGAAAATGAAAATTTTTATAGATTACAACCGTTTCAAAACCTTCTGAACATTTTGGCATACCTTAGAAAAAATGGATGTGTTTGTGTATATATGTGTCCGTGTGTGTGTGGGAACAACCGATTTGAATAATTCGATTCGTATTGATAAGGAGACGTGCTGATTAGTTTTTGGCTTACGAGGTCTAGCCGCCTCGAAGATACGTACAGTTGCATACTGTTATTTCTCTGTACAGTTGCATACTATTAGCACGTTTCCTTATCAACAGCAATCGAATGTTTCTTGAATAATTGAAATCGGTTGAACCATGTTTCAGAAATCGTCGACAAAAATTTGTATCCGCATACACACGCATACATTCATGTTTTCTAAGGTATGCCAAATGTTCAGAAACCTCTAAAACGTAAAGATATATAAAAAAAATATTTTCGATTTTTTTTGCAATTAATATAACTTACCCTACGGGAAAATAACGCGGCAATCTATTTCTATGGAAGCAATTACCTGACTTTCCTATCAAAGTACACATGCAATACGAACAGCCAATTAAAAATCCTTCACTGGATTCACTTCACCACATGAATTCATTACAAATAAAGATGATGCACACCGTTTTATTCCTTTTATTAGATGAATATACATTATTCATTAATATTTTAATTAATATGTATTAATTCAGGGTAGTCCACAAACACAAAAAGTAAATCGTATAAACACACACACAAACACACACACATATATATATATATATATATATATATATATATATATATATATAATTCTTCTGTAATGAGGTATGAAAGAATTTTTTTTAGTATTTTTTGAATTATAGAAATTTAGTTACATTGTAGAAATAAATGGAAAAAATTACAAACTAGTGGTATATGCCATCGTGCCTTAAGGCAAATTGCTGCTACTTCCCGTAACCTAACGAAACGTTCGAAGAATATTAAATGTTTTCAAATAGATTATTTTAAATATTGTAAAAGCAGAAATCTTTGAATAATTCAAATCAGGCGCTTAGTTCTCTCAAAAACTTCCGTTTTTAGCACATTTAGCTCTGCATCTTCAAAATGGCTTTGCCTGCCTTTGCCAAAAACGAATAACCACTTCTCCCAAAAATTACTAATTGAATGTTTTTTAGATCATTCAAATCGGATGCTCCGTTCTCTCAAAAACTCGATTTCTATTTTCTGCACTCTTTGCTCTTTATCTTCGTAACTGCTGGACCTGCTTTTGCCAAAAAAGCACATCTCCCTATCAATAGGAATCGAATGTTTTTTGAACCATTCAAATCGGTTGATCCGTGCGCCCGAAAACGTGAACGAAAAAATTCGGAATTCGAAAAAACACACACATCCAATGTTTCTGAGGTATGCCAAAATGTTCAGAAATCTTCAAAACGTCGAGAAATGCTAAAATTTTCATTTTCGATTTTCGACCCATTACTATAACTACTCTACGGGAAGTTAATAATATATAAGATA